TATTAGGTCTTACAGATGAAGTTAGGAGCAGACACTGATCATGCCAAATATATGCCTATCCCAATAGCAAGTGTTCTGTGTCTAAAAAGATCTTAGCAAGATATTCTTGAGACAAGGTGTTACATCCAGATTGTGTTACTTCTTTAATTTATCAGAACATACACCTTTTCTCACAAAAAAAAACACACAAAAAAACCAAGACGGCCTCAACACTATATATCACATCGACCTTGTACACATGCATTTGTGTCCATTTTCTTTTCATGCTGAAACTCTGGAGAGTTCCATAAAAAGAGATAAAAAACTAGGTGAAAGGAAAATACACTTTGAGAGATACTAATGCCATATGTAGAAAATCAAAGAAAGTGTTCTTGAATACCATAGACGTTCTACTGAGTGCCTCATCAGCCAGAGAGATTTACAGTAAGACAAGATATTTATCATGTAGCAACACAAGCTGAGATTTCACCTTGTCCACAAACAAAACCACATTGATTATAAATACAATGCAAACATGTCCACCCTAGTATGTAGTATTTGCATTATACGGAACTTGTACAGCAGAGGACTGAAGGCAGTGGATATTGATTATCCAGTCGTGAGCCTCACATAGAAGCTGACTGTGTAACAGAAGAATCATTTGTTTTTACAGTACATGATATAATAAATAAGTATATTGAATATGATAAATTTGAGTCAGTTGAGCAAATTGTTTCAAGTCAGGATGCAGGGATTTGAAATCTTTGGTGACGGGACAAACTTAATCAGCATGCACTGATCAAGTGGTAAGATCTGACCCAGCAAGCCTTGTACATATTTAAGCAGCGTTGAGTCCTTACGAGTTTTTCCTATAGCTTTTGAATCCCCAAATCCTGAAATAGGTAACTTTCAACATTACGGAATTAAGAAGGGTCCTTTGATTGAAATGCTTTACTTTGAACAGCAAAAGCATTTACTTCGAATGAGTGAGTGAGGAGGAGGAGTGGGTGGGTGGGTGGGTGGAGTGAGTGAGTGAGTGGGTGGGTGGGTGGGTGGGTGAGTGAGACACAGAGAGGAGTGAGTGGGTGGGTGGGTGGGTGGGTGGGAGGAGTGAGTGAGTGAGTGAGTGAGTGAGTGAGTGAGTGAGAGAGAGAGAGAGAGAGAGAGAGAGAGAGAGAGAGAGAGAGAGAGAGAGAGAGAGAGAGAGAGAGAGAGAGAGAGAAAGAGAGAGAGAGAGAGTGTGTGTTTTACACCACTTTTAGTAATATTCCAGCAATATCGTGGTAGGGGACACCAGAATTGGGCTTCCCACATTGTACCCATGAGGGGGAGAAAGCCAAAGCAATATGACACATATATTACAGTTCAATTTTTCAATTCATTTTTCATATATGCTTAACATTGTTATAAAAAAGATATCTTGAATTACATGTTCACTTTTGAAGACCCCAATCTGTCAGTGTGGAAATATCACTTTTGATCAATGTGATTGGGTCATTAATAACTTGGGGAATCAAACCATGGTCTTCAGCGAGATGAGTGAACACTTTAACCACGAGGCTACCCAACCGCACCCTTGAAAAGCAGAGCAAGGCGGGAAGAAAAAGTACCTGAAAAACCTGTCCTAGACCTCGCAGTATTTGTTTGCTACAAAAAACGAGGTTGGATTAGAATTGGTCCCCAACCCATGCATGCTTGAAGAGCTGCCAGGATAGTGTAGACTCAGACTCGCTGACTTGGTTGACACGTCACATATCCCAATTGTGTAGATCGATGCTCATTGTGTTGATCACTGGATTGTCTGGTCCAGACTCAAATTGATAGGATTTACCTAACTGATGTTGGAACTTTCTTCAATAGCTTGTAGAATCGCTTTAGAGATCAGTCCTAGTGGGACTTGCAGAGCTTCTTTGATGCCATATTTGTATGGGCTTGTATTTATATTTGCAGAGAGTGTTTGGCCTTCAGTAACAGTTGTGGAATCTCTTAGATGCAATCTGCTACTTTGTAAACTGGAACGTTTTACATTTCTTTATTTTTCTACAATTATATACAATTATGTTAATGAAGTCAACACTGTTAGCTGTTTGGATATTTCCTTTGGGCAAGAGGTTATTATCTCAGGATAGTCCATATTTGTATAAACTGTTCGTTGTTAAACAACACACTTGTCGCTTGTGACTAATTAAGTCTGTACAGACAAACCAATAATTGGATTGTTCGATAGTTTTTTGGCAGAAGTTGACGGATGACAAAGTAGACAGAAATGTTTTAGATTGCATCTTCTGTACTACATGGCCTGGCTTAACAAAAGCATATTTACGGTACGAAGAAGTTTGTATAAACTAAACTTTGTGTCTGCTTTAAAACCAGTGATTGATATCAGGAGCGATGATCAAACCTCTTGGTTTGTTTGTTTCTTGTTTACCGCCTCACTCAGCAATATTCCAACTATATGGTGGCATCTTTAATTTGTTTGCATCGGAAACATCCATCTTAGCTACCTAATATTGTTATTTCATCCATATTGTATTGGCATTAAGGAGCGTAATATAAACATAATGCTTGTGTATTTGAAAAGAATGGTCTTACAATGTCACATATTTTATTGTGTTCTTTGTGGATACAAGAATAACCATGGTTACACACAAACATTGCGAAGCTCCAATGGTTGAGTTCGCCCAGAGCTAATTTGTCTTGTCAGTTTTTTCCCCACATCAATGCATAAGAAGCTTGAATGGGGAAAAACAGTACAGTCGAACACCGTGGTCTCGATATTCGTGGGACCAAGAAAAAATATCGAGTTATCTGAACTTCGAGACATCCGACCAGGGCATATCATCACATATCACTATGAAAGAAAACAAAAAGTTTGTTAACTATCAGTAGTCAGTAGCGAGTACTTTGATTAAATTTCAAACTAATCAAATAACAAACAAGTGACAATATCAAAGTAGTGTTTACCGCATCCCTTTGATTCATGCCGCACCGTGTAATTTTGCTTGTTGGGACCATGAAATTATATCGAGATATCCTAATTAAGATCCTTAGTTATCAGAGTTTGAGACAATCGGTGCCCGACTGTAGTTCACTTTTCTTCACTTATTCTGTTTCACGCAATTATTATCTCCCTTGGATGTGAACAGAATAGGCAGAAAAACAAATAACTGCACTTGTAAAGTGCATAGTATTCTCAGCATGAAGGCTGTAGTAGGTTTTGAGGGGTTATAAATTAGTGGTTCTATTTGCTTCAAGAATCTCTTCAATCAAAGTTTTACTGTTCTTAAAGAGTGCTTATTGACTCATATCCCTTTCAACCATATTGTCTACAATGTGTTAATGGCTGATTGTGAGCCAAAGTGTCCTGATAGTATTGATTGCTGACTCTTACTATCATCAAATCAGCAAATCTGACCACCCGATCAAGTCAGTCGCCTCTAAAGACAATCATGGGTTGCTGGAGACAAATCCTGACCCAGATCCTCAGGGGTAGAGCGAACGATTGATGAAATCTTGCTTTATTCCTGTTATTGAACATCATGACAAAACTGTCGTATTGCTGCCTGCAGCATAAAACAGTGAGTGAGTGAGTGAGTTAGTATGGTTTTACGTAGCTTTTAGAAATATTCCGGCATGATATCATGATGAGGGACTCCAGATAAGGGCCAATGTGGGGAATCGAACCCGGGTCTTCAGCATGATGAGCTGACGCTTTAACCATTAGGCTAACCCACTGCCACAGCTTAAAACAACAGTCAGGAACTAACTGATATATATCATTCATATCATGATATGATATTAATTTTAATATTTTCAGGGACTAATCTCAGATTAATCTGGTCCTGTCCTGTAGGGTCCATATCCCAAATTTCCTAATTTGAATTAACAATATTGAAATTTCTAGGAAATTAATGATCATAGCAACAATAAATCCTACTTTGGACAATATCACAATATTTTTGCCAATGTGCCAGCCAAACACAGTTTCAAATCCTTGCATAAATCCCTCATATTGTCATTGGTTGTTATTTCAGGCATGGAAGCTGCGTTATCCTGCTTAACACATCGATGATAGAAGGGGTAACAAGACACAAGATTCTAACATCCATTTATGGACATAAATAAAAGAATGAACTTTTGAGGTTCAGCAAAGTCCAAGTCCTGGTATTTCAGCAAGCCATCTTCAATGAAAAGGCTTCAACCAGAGTACATCTACAATTTCTCCAGATCATCGTATGTGAACCCACAAATGACACTACTGCTATAATTACATGCAATATCTCAAAGAAAGTGCTGAAAATATTTGAGACTACATGCGAAAGTCTATTCCAATTGATAAAAATCTGAACAAAACAATCTTGTTAAGTGGAAGTAACATTACCTGGAAAATAGGAGATAACTTTGTTTGTTCATGTCTTTATGCTGGTTAATTCATCATCATTTGAAACCTCAGAACTAAAACTGTCAAAGGAGAAAAACGTTCAAATAGAACACTTACTTTCATAGGCAATTTATCATGTAACCAGGAAGTAATTTGGGCATGCAACGCTGGATCAGTTCAGAACCTCAAAGAATCCGACTGACACTGACTAGCTTTACCTGTCCTGCTATTGATTCCTTTAAAAAAGCAAAACTTTAATAAGGTAGTCTCTTTGTAAATGGTTTTCACTATAAGTAAGTGAAAGGTTGGAAACATCTGTTTCAAATAAGTGCCACAATTGACACATAGATACCTCTGGTTGGCCACTTCTGATTTGGAACTCCACTAGAACTGACTGTACCAGTGAAGCTTGTAGAGTCAAATTTTACTGTCAGACTTTAAACTGGCAGTTAAAACTGCAGACTGAGCCTCTCCTACATATGAGCAGACGTCAGCATAACAAGGGTAAATAACAGTGTTACTGCTCCTTCTATAGAGACAATGTCCAGCACCAGCCAGTACACGATAAATGAACCTGAGGAAGAAGAGTCGAGACTGCTGCCTCTCTACACCCTCATCCCAACTATCATCTGCATCACAGGGATGATCATCCTGCTGTCGGTGGCAACATTCTCATCATCATCTCATACATCCGTGACAAACAGCTTCAGACCGTCCACAACATGTATCTCCTCAACCTGGCAGTCACTGACCTTCTTCTGGGCATGATCAGCATGCCTTTCTATGCTGTCTACACCGTCACTGAATGGCACTGGCCCTTTGGGCAAGGATTCTGCAAGTTCTTCATGTTTGTGGACTTTGCGCTCTGCCTGGAGTCTGTCCTGCTCATCATCGTCATCAGCCTTGATCGACTAATCCTGGTCACCAAGGGTGCTGCCTATGTGTCGGAGGAAACCTTCAAGGTCGGTTACATCAAGGTGGGACTGTCCTGGGTGTTAGCCTTGTCCCTCTATGGTCCTGCAATCATTGGCTGGGACTACTGGGTCGGAGAGTCAATCGTAGAACCCGAAGATTGTGATGTTGAGTTTGCTCACAATTTCAAATTCACTCTCGTCACTTCACTGATAGAATTTTTTGTTCCGTTTTTGTCCATATCAGTTCTGAATACTTTGATATACATTAAGATCAGAAAGAGAGCAAAAATATTTGCTAAAAAACCAAACACACTTGATATCCATGCTACACCTGCATCGTCATCCATGAAGTTAAACAGTCATACAACTCAACAGTCTGAAACAACAGTCCTCAAAACTGGCCATATTTCAGAGAAACTTGAAAAGAAAAAAGTATCCAGCAATAAACATGATGAACCCAAACAGGGAAAGAAAAGCCAAACTCGGAGAGATCTGAAGGCAGCCAAAGCTCTGGCTGTTCTGGTGTTGGCTCTGGCAGTTTGCTGGGCTCCATACACCATCTCCACCATCATCATTGCCTTCTGTGACAGTTGCATCACCAGTGATGTCTACGAGTTCCTCAACTGGCTGCTGTGGTTCAAGTCCTGCATCAATCCCTTCCTCTATGCCTTGAACAGTGCTAGATTTACACACAACATCAAGAAACTACTGCAATGCAACAGAAGATGTTCATAAACCAGGGCTGGATTTAAATAATCTGATTTACCTTGCACCAGACATGAAAAAATAGCTCCACCAGACAAAGCTAGACATTTATCAATGTTGAAAGTGTGCACATAATCCTAAAGCATCCAGTTTGATCATGACAAACACCCAAAAGAGTGACAAACTACACAAAACACTGGGATTATTGGTTATTTTGTTGCTTAACGCCGCACTCCTCAATATCCCTGCTATAAGGCAGGCGATCTGTAAATAATCGAGTCTGGACCAGGCCAATCCAGTGATCACCAGCACGAGCATCGATCTACACAATATGGATACAGTGACGTGTCAACCAAATCTGCGAACATGACCACCCGATGCTGAAGGTTGCCTCTAAGACAAGCATGGGTTACTGATGTCCAATTCTGACCCGACTCTTCATGGGTCCTGTGATTATTGATCTAGTATGGTAAACATCGCTTATTGAACATGTTTACAGGTTGATGTTGTTTTGACATTTATATGCTGGACACAAATTTCTATTTTGCCATGTGATCATTACATGTAGACATAAATATTAGGATGCATTGTAAAATGTTTTATGTATCTAATTCTAGCAAGACAATGTGTGATACTCGATTCTGATTTGCTGAGAGCTCATCAAAACCGTACTTAAATGACAGTTTAAGGACCGCTAATTAAAGTGACCGATTCACCGCGTATGAATACAACGAACTCGTTGACCCTATTGTTTGTAAACAAACATGTCGGACATCGGCAATTTCTATCTCGGCAGCATATTTGGTGTTTTTGAAGCGAATGGTTTGAAGAAGAATTTCTTGACCCTTATCCCAGTGAAGAAACTACGAAGCTGGAAAATCAGTCAGCAGCGCAAAAGCGGCAGTATATTCAAAGCGGGTCCAGATCTACGTGTGTTGACGTCGACAACACATGTCGGTCCACACGTCCTAACCTGACCGCTTCCGTCCCGGCTGTAATGCCCAGTCCTTCCACTTCCACTGTCCATGTATCCCACATAAAACGTGGCATGTCAGGTCTTTTCCAAATTGGGAATAGTAGGGTGGTTATCAACAATTATTTCCGTGAATAAAGTTAGCGACCTAAACTTAGCGAAGTTCACGGCTTGCATTTTGGCAAGTCATTACAGTAGGGAGATCAATAATTCGGGCTTGAGAAATATCAAATAATTGTACTTGCTCACAGTATAAACTGTATTTTTTTTATTTATGTATGCTACTTGTTACAAATACAAGCATACTGGTTTTGAAATATAGCATTTATGTTGTTGAAAATGTCTTATTTTGTTCATTACACAACCTGTCCCTCAAGAGGACGATTCCAAGCGATTTCCAGGACAAAGGCCCCTTTGTGCCTTGTGTTCTTGCGCACCAAACAGTTCGGTTTGAAAACGCTTATCACTTGTGCTAGAATGAAGATATAGCTACTCTGTTTTCAATTTTTCGGCCCTTTATCGTTGATTTAAGACCGCTAAATGTTTAATTTAAAACCTCACGCTAACGCTAACGCGTTCGGTTTTTAAATTACATTTAGCGGTCTTAAATCAACAATAAAGGACCGCAAAATTGAAAACAGAGTAGCTTTATCTGCTAAATGAAGCCCTATACTTGAACTTTGTCCAAACAACCAACTTCATCATGTTAATCATTAATAATGTAGGTTTATTCTCACCAAGGTGAATGGAGTTTAGTGCATTATTAATGCATTTCTTCTTATTTTTATATATGTTAATAAAAGTTCAAGAACAATGCTCTTTCCTGTTTTCAACATTTGACCGGCAAATATCTTCAGTGATAACTGCAGGTGACAGGTATTTGGTACATCTGGTGCTTTGTGGTACATTTATCCCTGAACATATTTTAGTCTGTGATATGCCATGACATATGGTAATGAAAACAGTTTGTGCTTTATTTTTGTTGTCACTGTTGTGCTATTTTATCTTTCTGCTGGCTTGATTCTATAAAATGTCAGAATAAATTTGCATTTGTTGTCTCTGTCCTTCTTTATATCATTGAAATAAGATGCTTTACCCTGCTTTGCTCTCTCCATCAAGTTCTGACAAACCCTTCATAGTAAGTCAAGTCATGAAATCCTGAACACACCTTCACTTCCAAATGAGATATGAAGGCTGTATTGGCATGTGTGTCATGGGAGTTTAGGCATGTATGGGCATGGGAGAATAGGCATGTATAAGTATGGGAGTTTGGGTATTTGCAGGAATGGGGTTTGGGGCATGTATGGACATTGGAGTTTGGGCATGAATGGGTGTGGGAGTTTGGGCAAGAGTGTGCATGGGAGTTTAGGCATGTATGGGCATGTGAGAATAGGCATGGGAGAATAGGCATGTATAGGTATGGGAGTTTGGGCATTTGCAGGAATGGTTTGTGGGGAATGTATGGACATTGGAATTTAGGTCTTAATGGGTGTGGGAGTTTGGCCATGTATGGGTATGGGAGTTTGGGTATTTGCAGGGGGGTTTGGGGCATGTATGGACATTGGAGTTTGGGCATGAATGGGTGTGGGAGTTTGGCCATGTATGGCATGGTATGGGAGTTTGGGCTAGAGTGTGCATGGGAGTTTAGGCATGTATGGGCATGGGAGAATAGGCATGTTTAGATACGGGAGTTTGGGCATATGCAGGAATGGGGTTTTGGGCATGCATGGGCAATGAATGGATATGGGAGTTTGGGCATGTATGGGTATTGGAGTTTGTGAGTTTGGGCTAGTGTGAGCATGAAGTTTGGTAATTTATATGCATGTACAGGTATGGGAGTTTGGGCTAGTGTGTGCATGGGCTTTTGGGCATGTGTAGGCATGTATGGGCACGGGATTTTGTGCATGTGTTGGCATGGGAGATTTTCAGTGACTGACATCAACTATGCTGTGGAATATGATGTCATGCATCAACTAGGTTCACCAGTCTGACTACCCAATCCTTATACTTGCCTCTAACAACAAGCAGGGTTTTTTGAAGACTAACTCCAACCATCCTCTTCATCAAAATGACACAGTGTGTTAACTTACCTCAACATTGTTATTCCTATTCAAAACTGTCATCATTGACATTTATTTTATACAAAGTCACAACGTTATGCTGAGTAAATCGATGCTCATTCTGTTGATCACTAGATTGTTTTGAGACTCGACAAAGTCACATACAGTGTGTTAACTTACCTCAACAAGGCATTGTCATTGCTATTCCTATTCAAAACTGAAAAACTCATCATTAACATTTGTTTTTGAGATACAAAGTCACATACACGTTATGCTGAGTAAATCAATGCTCATTCTGTTGATCACTGGATTGTCTGGTCCAGACTCGATTATCTACAGACCACCACCATATAGCTGGAATATTGCTGAGTGCGGCGTTAAACAAAACAACAACAACAACAACAGCAAACAATAATATACATTGACATCGGTTGATATGTACATGTAGTATACAGTCACAACTTGCGGAAGCCAACTATGAGAGGTGGTATATATATCCTAAAACTATTCCAAGGTGAATACTTCCTAGTTCAGGTTACAGTTCCGGTTTCTCAACTCTGGTGTGTCTTAGCGTCAAGGTCACCCTACTCACTAGGATAACATTTACCATAGTAGAAGTGTATGAAGTCCTACCTTCCTCATAGACAACTGACAACTTCCTATTCATGAATAATTCACACTCACATTTGCACAGTTCTAATGCTCCATCATCATGGGGCGTTTGACAGATCTGTAGTTAGTTACGAGAACTTATACAGAAATATAAGGCTGAGGTACAGAAGCTCACCTTTAGAGGTCAGGAAGTGAACATTACTTATTACAATAAAACCATATAATCCAATGCTACATGCTTATTTGAGCCTTATCATTTCCCTACATATATCAAACACTTATTACCAAGTCAAAAGCCAGTCATATCTCTAACATATCAATGACTGATACAATTTCAACATCATATTTAATCAAATTCCTGTTTGTTTATTGGAATAATGCTCCTTAATGCTGCAATATTCCAGCTACATGACCACCATCTGTAAATAACTGATTGTGGACCCTCCATTTTGATCTTTTTAGTTAAACCTGTGAGTGAAGGAGTGAGCGAGTATAGCTTTATGCTGCTTTAAGCAATATTCCAGCAATATCATGGTATGGACACCAGAAATGGGCTTCACACATTGTACTCATGTGGGGAATCGAACACAGGCCTTTTGTGTAACAAGCGAACGCTTTAACCACTAGGCTACCCCACCGCCCCTTAAACCTATGACACACAGTATGCCTTTATTCCATGGAAGTCAAGAATAAGAGAGACTGAAATGCTGTGTTTTGAAATATTCCAGCGGTATCACATTTAGGGACAACTGAATGAACAAAGTGTACCACTAGGCTACACTACCACCATAACAAAGTACATAAGTAATGGGACAAGTATCGATTCCAATACCTTAAATGACCTGAACATCTACAACCACTCCGATAAATAGATGTAGTTAGCTTTACTTAAAAATAGGTTGAAACTAACAGCTTATCCACTTATGTTCTTCTATGTATATATGTTCCCAACATTCCAACACACAAGCATTTAATCTAACCATTCATCTTTGGTGTCTTATTCCCTTTGTTCTCTCAGGTTCCCATGCTCAACTAAGCATTTAATCTAACCCATCTTTGGTGACCCTCTCTCAGGTTCTCATGCTCAACTCCAGTGATAAATGCCCGGTCAAATAGGGGCCTGTAGGCGTGACTACCTGACCATGGAAAACCGATGTTGCATGTCACACAAAAAAGTGACATTTATGATAATAATAACACAAAATTACAAAGTCATTGATAGTTGTACAAATTATTGAATGACATGAATGCAAATTAAAACGATAAATCAAATGGTCCAATTTGGACCAAAATGTGAGTTGAGTGACATTGGACAATTTTTTACAGTGAATTTCCCGTATGTGCATATTTTTAAGAAAGGCAAATTTAGTGTTTCCCTGGCAGAT